CCCTGAGCTTCCTGTACACAAACACCGCCTCCTGGGTCTGATCAGACAGTTGACAGGGGGCACCCAGATGTTGGGCACCATGCAAGACACCCTTTTAATGTTTTATTAAAGGGTTTCTTGGGGGCACAGTGGTGAGGGTGGGGGGAAGGGAGTAAAAGGGGCTGATGTCAAGGAGTAGAAGAAGAAAGAAATGTTTTGAAACTGACTGGTAGTAACTGTACCATACCACTTGATGTGATTGAACTATGGAACATATGACCTCTGTATTCGCTCTCAATAAAGTGATTTTGGAAAAAAAATCTTTGGTAAGTTCTGATATCTTATATTGAGGAAGAAATTAATCTAGCAGAAGAGGAAATAGGGGGGGACCCCAAAATCACTGACAATGAGAGCTGCCCCTCAACCGGTCCTGCTGTGGGGAGGCAAGTGGGGGAGAAGCTAGCCCCCAACGTGCCTGTCCACACCCCTACATTACCAGCAGAAAGAAGGGGAGGCGATGGAAGCCTCTGGGCAAAGATGGGAGAAGAAGGTGGTGCCCATGGCAACCACCCAAGGATACCCAAGGTTGAAAGTCACGTGGGTTTGAAATGAGTCCCGGGCTGTTGCTGGCTGAGTCTTGATTGAGATGACCATATAAATTATCCTCCGAGGGTTGGGACACTCTTGAGAGGAAAATGGAAGCCCCGAACGGAAGGCTTCACTCAAGACTGTCTCAAGATGGTCAGCACATAGGGTGGTGGTGGATGTCAGGTGCTAGCACGTGAGTTCCCAGCGTAGCAACTTCATGGACAACATAGCGGACCACCACTGGGTCCTGCGCCAGCCTCACAATGGTTCTTATGTTGGGGCCCAGGGTGTCCATCCATCTAGTCAAGGGTCTATTTATTTTCTCTAACCCTCCACTTCACCGAGCATGATGCCGTTCTCCAGGAAAGGGTCTCCCCTGATAACATGGTCAACACATGTAAGGCAAAATCCTCCCATCCTTGCTTCTGAGGAGCAGTCTTGCTGTACTTCCTCCCAGACAGATGGGTTTAGTCTCTGGGCAGGTCAGGATACTTTCAATATTCTTCCACCACTCGCCGCTCAGTGCCAGACGGTGGCGGCTGGCATGTTGCTGTGATGCTAGAAGCTATGCCACCGGTACTTGGAATACCAGCAGGGTCACCCACGACGGAGCTTCGGCGGCGCTTCCGGATGAAGAACAGACTGAGAGAAGGGATAGACCGTCCACTCCTGAGGACTCAGCCACTGAAAGCCGTAGGACTGGGACAAGCCATGCCCTCACAAGCCAGGGAACATGCACACAAGAGAGACAAGCTCCAACCGCCCGAGGCCGTGCTTCGCAGCATGTCCGTCCACGGTGCGCAGTTGCCGTTGTGAAATACAATAAACTGAAAATGAAGTACGCCCAAGACCAGGCATCCCGGTCTGAGCCTTGTGAGGGTGGGGAGGTGTCTTCAAGGCGGCTGCAGCTCACGGCGGTACAGCAGAACACTTCGTAGTTGCCACAGAATGAGATACCACCTGGGCCTGGGCCCTGCTCCCAATCGTCTTACGTTTGTGTCCACCGTTGCAGCCGCTGTGTTGGCCAGCCTTGTCAAGGGCCTTGCTCTTTTTCACTGCCCTCTACTTTACCAAGCACGACTGCCTTCTCCAGAGACTGGTTTCTCCGGATAACATATCCAAAGTACGGGAGATGAAGGCCACCATCCTTGCCACGGCGGAGCATCTTGGCTTGTACTTCTTCCAAGACAGATTCACTTGTCCTTTGGGCAGTCCGTGGTACACACTTCCAATCTCCTTCACCAGCATCACCATTCAAATGAATCCACTGTTTTCTGATTCAGTGTCCAGTTTTCACACGCATAGAAGGCCATTGAAACGACCATGGCTTGGGTCAAGGGCACCTTAGCCCTCAGAGGGGCATCCTTGCTTTTCAACTCCTGAGCGAGCCCTGATGCGGCGGAGTCTCCCGTCCACGCATCGTTTGGCTGCTGCTTCCATGAGCACTGACTGTGGAATCAAGGAAGACGGCCTCCTGGACAATGGCACTCTTGCTCCATTTATGATGTTACCCGGCGGTCCAGTGGTGAAGATTTGGGTCTTCTTTACATTGAGTAGTAATCCTTACTGAAGAGTTGCGAAACCTCTGAGACTGCGGGCCACAGTCACCCTTCAGGTCTGGAAATGAACACACACATACACCCTTTCCCCCCACCCCTCTGACTCAAATTTCAAGCAAACCACGGACCGTCTGTAAAGGGAATAATGAATGACATTAGGGAGGGACGCGTACCTTAGAAGAACCAACCATTTCCCATCCATTGGACAACATTTTCCCAAGGAGAAAGTTCAGAAGGTTGGGACAGAAAGGAGAATGGAAACCAAGGCACAGGGGGGACGGGCGGTGCCACTTGGAGAGGATTGCAATAAGTGACATGGAACAAAAGGTGTAGACGCTGTTGAATAGAAAATGGAGTTCATTTAATCAAAGATATAAAGGGCAGATCTAATCTGTTTGAGTGACAGGACACAGCAGCGAGGGCCTGGGGCCTGAGAAGCGGATGGAAAGGTTTGACTGGGGAAGGGAACGGGGAACTTTAAGGAGATTGGAATGCCCTACGTCTTGATCACAGTGATGGGCATAGACGTGTGGGAAAGCACAAGCCCGTTTGTTGGTGTACAGTGTGCTTGTCGTGCGCAACAGAACAAGACACACGTTGGTCAATTTCCAGAGGTAGGTCACCAGGTCTTTCTTCCGAGTCTGTCTGCGCCGGGAAGCTCTGCTGAACCACGTGCCCGCTCCCACTGACAGAGGACGGCGGCTGTGTGTGTGAGCTGTGCCCGGGGTGCTTCCTGTTAGAGTCTGAGCCACTGCTGCCCACCTGCCTGGTGACATGTGCAGAAGGGATATTTCCTGCTGGTTAAGAAACGCCCCCCCCCCCATAATGCCTTACAAATCTGGCTAGACCAGAGGATGTACACTGGTACAGATAGGAACTGGAAACACAGGGAATCCAGGGTGGATGATCCCTTCAGGACCAGTGGTGTGAGTGGCGATACTGGGAGGGTGGAGGGAGGGTGGCGTGGAAAGGGGGAACCAATCACAAGGATCTACATATAACCTCTTCCCTGGGGGATGGACAACAGAAAAGTGGGTGAAGGGAGACCTTGGGCAGTGTAAGATATGACAAAATAATAATAATTCATAACTTATCAAGGGTTCATGAGGGAGGTGGGAAGGGAGGGGGGAAATGAGGAGCTGATACCAAGGGCTCAAATAGAAAGCAAATGTTTTGAGAGAGATGAGGGCAACAAAAAATGCAGGGCAACAAATGCACAAATGTGCTGGATGCAATGGATTGATGTATGGATTGTGATAAGAGTTGTACGAGCCCCCAATTAAAAACAAAGGTCAACAAACAGATCTTGCACTAAAAAAGAAAGAAGGAAACCAGGCCCCAAGGTTCATCTTCTGTGGGGGGCTTGGGTCTCACCTTCCAGCTTGATGACCCTGGTACAAATGCTCCACCTCCCTCACCTGTAGACACAAGGTCACTTGCGTGATGAACTGAGCCAACCTGGAGGGTATGTTGAAGCGGGTGCCACCATGCCAGTGGTGGCTTGTCACAGGGAGCTACGAGGAGAGAGCAGCAGCCCCAGGGGGGAGTCTCACAAGCAGGGGGGAGGGGAGGCACCGTCAATGCCAACTGCCCTCACGGCTACCACAGCCCCTCCCAGGCTGCCCCTGTCAAACCAGCTTAAGCTTCATTTTCTTAGCGTCATCCTCAATCCTCCGGAATCGACAAGTCCCACCAGCGGACAGAGAGCCTGGGCTGAGGCCGCTGGTTCACAAGGCACCCAGCAGGGGCAAGGTCAAGGGCACCAGCAGCAGGGCCAGGTGGGACGCGGGGGCGCTGGTCGAATCCGTGTCCGTGGAGGAGTTCAGGGTTCTGATGACCCAGTCGGTGTAGGCGGTCATTCGAGTATAGACTCCGGGCCTGTTGGGCCGAGCGCAGCCCTCTCCCCAGCTCACGATGCCGGCCTGCAGCCACGTGTGGTTGTGCAAACAGACGAGCGGTCCCCCGGAGTCACCCTGGGAAGAGCGAGGGCAGGCAGCAGGGACAGGGCGGGGATGGGCGCCGGGGGCTGAGCAAGGACTCTGAAAGTCCCGGGATGGACGTGTGGACAGAGCTGGGCCAGCCCGCGGGTCTCGGGGTGCCCGGGGCTGCGCTTACCTGGCAGGAGTCCTTCTTGCCCTCCCGGAAGCCCGCGCAGAGCATGTCGTCCTGGATGAACCGCTGGCGCTCCCTTTGCTGGTACAGCCGCTCGCACTCCTCCGAGTCCAGGAGTGGCACAGCCACCTGCTGCAGGGTGGCCGCCAGCACTGCACAGCGGGGAGCAGGCGGGTGTGGGGGCCCTCATCCCGACCCCAGGTGGCACCCAGCGGGTGGCCCAGCCCCTCCTTCACCCGCCCACCTCCCACCGTGAGCTGGTGGACCCCAACTCTGCCCTGCTGGGAGTCCGTTCCCACGGCGGCATGGGAACCCCAGGGCCTGAGTCGGACTGCGCTCCAGAGAACTGCCAAGGCTCCTTTGGGAGCAAATCGCCAGACCTTTCTTTCGAGGCACCTCGGGTGCGGTTGGATTGCTAGCCTTTCCGTTGGCCCTGAAGCGCTTAACCCTTTGCACAACCCAGAGACCCTGGACTCTAGCACAAGATCAGCCAAGCCCAGCGAGGAAGGTCACTTCCAGGAACAAAACGGAAAACCAAACTCGCTGCCATCCCGTCCATTCTGACTCAGAGTGACCCTACAGGACAGGGTAGACCTGCCGCTGTGGGGTTCTGAAAACCGAGAGTCCTTACGGGCGTCGAAAGCCCCATCAGTCGCCCTCGGAGCTGCTGTTGCTTGAGAGCGGCTGGCCTGGCGGTTACCAAGCCAACGCATAACTGCTGGGCTACCAGGCCTCCTCAGCCAAGGGCAATTCTAGGGTGTGGACAGAACCTGGCCCTTGGCCCCGAGCCCCACTGGTTTCCAGGTGGGGAGTCTTGTGAGCTGGGCACAGACAGGGTCAGCCCACCCGCCACCAAGGGCACCAGCAGCCCCTGGGCTCAGCTTGGCAGATGCACCACCTTACCTCGCTCCTGGGTGGAGCCCCAGCCAGTGACCCAGCACCGGATTCCGGTGGGGAAGGAGCTGTGGGGCGCTGGGAGGCAGACAGGGGTGGCCTGGGAGGGCTTCACCGTGGCATCCAGCTGCAGCAGGGCAATGTCCCCACTGGACCCCTGCTGCCCAGGGTTGTACAAGGGGTGGACAACAAGCCTCTTCACAGACATAGAGGCCGAGTTAGGTTCCAAAAGGGACAGGGTCAGCCCTCCAACCTTCACACTATAGAGCTGTGACTCCGGAGATCTAGGAGATGGGGCAGAGACCCAACCTGGTAAGGGGGCGCCCGAGGGGAGGCAGGAGGGAGGTAGGTGCGGGAGCCCTTCCCTCACCCCCTGCTCACCTGAATAAGCAATGGGCAGCGGTGAGCACCCAGCGTGGGTGGACAAGGGAGCCCCCACATATGTGTCCCTCCGACATCAACCTCAGGCTGACTTGCCATGGCCACTGTCCCACCTGGGCATTCTGGCCACCCACGATCCTCCCGGCATCCCCAGAATGGCCACACACTGCAGACAGACCAGCAGATGGTTGTCATGGGTCCCTCCTCTTCAGCCGTGCCTCCACGTCTGTGCCCCCTCCCTACCCAGCACCCCCCACCCACTCAGCAGGGATGTCCAGCACTGAGACTTACCTGCAGGCAGCACATCCCCTCGGGCTCCTGGAAAGCAAGAAGGGGGGATTGGCATGCTGTCCAGCCCTTCTGTGGGGGGAGGAAGAGCAGGAGCCTATTCCTTTGCACCTCTCAGCCCCCCAGTTTTAGGGACCTGCTCCATGTCCCTCTCCCACTTGCCCCAGAGGCTCATTTGCCACTCTGGGCAGGGCCTCTTACCCTCAGCCCTCCCCTAGACCCTCAGCAGGACCCACTGAGGAGGGAGCAGAAACTGTAGGCTCCCACCGTAGGGTGGAGGGAGAGAGGGTCAAGTAGTGGGGGGCAGCAGGCAGCGGGGGAGCAGTGACTCTCACCGGAGAGCAGCTGTTGCTGCAGCAGAAGCAGGAAGAACAACCAGAGCCCCATGTTCCCCTTTCCTCGCAGGCACGGCTCTGTCAGGGGGTCAGAGTCCTCGGGTAGTGGCAGTGGAGCCTTTATGAGGCCAGTACAGGGCGGGGATGTGGAACAAATTGGGTGACCTTACCAGAGGGAGGGACATCAAAAGGAATGTCCACAGAATGCTTGGGCAGGGTTTCATAGAAATGCATTATTTCTCATAAAAAGGTCCCTGCGGTCGTAGCACCGAACGTTGCTTGTTTTCTTCTTCCTGTTGGAGGGACAGTGGTGGTCTAAAAGGGGACACATGTCCCCTTGCAGGCATGTCCCTCCAAGGAGCCAGGGCTCAAATCCAACCACTAGGCTAGGATGTGGAGGCCTTGGGGGTCCTGCAGGCAGTGGGAAGAGAACCCCCCCTCCACCCCCCGCAAGGCTTCACTCATTTTGCTGGGTAGATGCTGGGGTCTCCACTCACTGCTGAAGATGGGCTTAACCTCTACTCTTCTTCCTATGTGTGTCTGGATACAGACTAGGCTGAGACAGACCGCTCCTTCTCTGGGGAGAGCTCTCCATTGTCCGACCCCTACTTAAGAGGCCAAGAGCCTTAGTGATGGAGTGGTTCCGTGTTGGGCTACGATCCTCAAGGTCAGCCGTTTGAAACTACCAACCACTCTGTGGGGAAAAAAATGGGGCTTTCTATTCCCATAAACAGTTACAGTCTCAGAAACTCACAGAGGCCATCCTACCTTATCCTATAGAATCACTGTGAGCTGGCTCCGACCTAATGGCAGTGAGTTTGGTTTGGGGGACTTCAGAGTGGGAATCCAGGCCAGCCCTGCCCAGTGCCATGTGAGAATACACACACACACACACACACACACATAGCCGAGACCTTGTCTCCAGACCAGGAAGTGCCAACTCAGAAATACCCCATTCTTTTTCCAACATTCACTTCCTCCTGCTGATCTGAAACTTTGGACCCCACTCTAGGGACAGCAGAAGAGGCTCCGGAAATGTGTGCCCGTCCCCAAGGCTGCTGAGGACACCCTGGTGGACTTGGGTGTTTCGCAGCCCTCCCCCCCCAAGAAAACTAAGGAGCAGGAACAATTCCCTTCGAGCTGTGTGGCCCCTTCTCTTTCCCTCCCACTCCTTCCTGCACTCACCTCCGACCTCATTAGCTCCCTGTGGTTTTAGTCACTTCTAGCATCTCTGAGGATATCCTACCAGAAATCTTGTATTTATTTATTTCTCTTTCCTCTTCCCACGGGCCTCCACATAAGCTTTAAGTGTGAAGCCATGTCTCTTGTTTGCTTTTTTTTTTACCTCCCAAAATAAAAATGTATTTATCTTTATGAGACTGTATCTCACACTGTGTTTCTCTTTATGAGACTGACTAACTTTGCTGAGCATAATGCCTTCCCAGTGCATCCGGGTCGTGAGTCACTTGGCGGTTTCCTCACCATTGTGTTTTAAGGCTCTGTAGTATTCCATTGCACCCATATGCCAGCGTGTATCTGTCCGTTGGTCTGTTTGTTTTGGAATCTCCCTTTGAGGAGCCTTGGTGGTGTGGTGATGCGTGGGGCCGCCATTTGAAAGGTCAGCAGTTCCAAACCACCAGCCGCTCCATGGGAAAAAGACAAGGCTTTCTTCTCCTGTAAAGAGTTACAGTGTTGGAAACTCATAGGGGCAGTTCTACCCAGTCCTATAGATCTCTAGGAGTTTGAATCCACTGGAGGGCAGGGAGTTGGTTTGAATTTTGAGTCGCACGATGGTTACGTCTTGACTGCTGATTGAAACGTTAGCAGATCAAACACCTTTTCCGGCCCCTACACAGGCCCTCCATCTGAGACAACCCTGGCCATCCGCTTCCGTTGAAATGATCCCTTAGGAAGCTCAGAGGGCAGGCTCGCTCTACCACTGGGGCTCCCCATGAGTCGGAACCGACGGGAAACCACACAACAGCAGCCTGCATGTGGGTCCACGTGGGGGTTGTCCTGTAAGATCTTCCTGGCTACAACACGTTCGTTGTGTATTTGCGTGAAGCATAACTTCTTAGAAGCGTTCTTTTTTTTCACAATTTACATCATCCGGATTCAGACCAGCACCCTATGAAATGTCATAAACTGATGTAGGGATTGTGCACGCGAAGTACGGCATCTTTACAGGAATAATAGGCGCATTATACTGGTTCGTTGGGGCTGTTGTTTTGCAAACTACAAGGAACTCCTTCAAACATGTTCACTTCCCGAGGGAGCTGCGTGTGGGGTGTGTGCGTGTGCATAGTTTTGGCGTGCGTGTTATCTCTGGAAATAGCAATATCTGCTACCGGGAATGAATTACTGAGAGGTCTAGTTCATGACAATGATATCATAGGTGTTACCGATGTCTTAGAGGGAGCCCTACTGGCGCTGTGAGCTAAGCATTGGACTGCTAGATACAAGGTGAGCAGGGCAAATACACCAGCCAACCTGCAGGAGAAGGACGGGCTTGTCCGCCACCATAAATATTTGTTTTTCACTTTTCATTGTGACTTGGGTGAGCACTAACAAGGGAGCAATGCTACCATGAAATGTGTCTGACTCCATTTATTTATATCTATCTCTTATCTCTCATGCTCTCTATACCTTTACTATAATATTTACTTATTATCGCTGTACAATTGCGCCTACCAAACCTGTAGTGATTGTGCTAGGAGCTGGCTTCTTCTGGCAATGCTGGAACCCCACAGAGAGGCACACTCTTGGGAACCTTACACAGCAGGTCCACTCTGTCCTGCGAGCCTGAAACGACTCCTCCACGGTGGATTGGGCCTGGTCTTGGGGAGATCTATACTGAAAAAATAAATCTTTTTAAAAATCAAACTCAGTCTCAAAAAAGTCTGGAGGGGAAAGAGCCCCTCCCTGAGTCACCCCATTGGAGCGTCACAGAGAAGGAAGGTTCGGGGAACTTCACGGTGTTCACTTGGTACCTGGAAGGGAGGCAGGTGAGGTCACCGGCATGCCAGGGGCCAGCCTCTTCTAGGCTTCTGAGGAGAGGCGTGTGTCACCGAGAGGTTTCATTCCTTGGACTGCCATCACATGACCAGGCCCACTTGGCTGTGCTCACATGGGACTCCGCCACTGTCCTGGAGAAAAGGCAGGATGGCGCCTTTTGTTGACAGATGGCTAAGGGCTGCTCTGACCTTCTCAAGACCCCTTGACACGCAGCATCTGAGTGCTCAGGTGAGTAAACGGGTGAGGGCCAGGGAGCCATCCTAGAGAACACAGTCCCTGAGCTTGGCTGGAGTCCACCGTGAGATGGCTACCACCTACTTCCTGGAATGTGGGTTAGACCCCGGCTCTCCAGACACCACACCACGACACCGAGGCTGGGGGCAAGCCCTGGCAGCCCAGGTATCAGCAGGCTTTCCCCGACCCCAGATCATCACAGAGCAGGCCATGACACAGGAGCTTGTCATGAGTGAAGGGTTTAGCAAGGTTCAGGAATGTGAGGGTTTCTCTAAAGGATTGGGGTGGTTCCAGCAAAGGTCCGTTTATAAAAGCACAGAAAAACAGTCGCGGTCTAGTCGAGGCGATGCATTTGCACGATGGTGCTGGCGAAGACTGTTGATGGCACCATGGACCGCCAAGAGAACGTGCAAATCCGGCTTGCAAGAAGTCCGGCCAGCGTGCTCCTTAGAGACCAGCATGGTGAGGCTTCCTCTCACGTCCTTTGGACACGTTGTCGGGAGAGACTAGTCCCTGGAGAAAGACATCATGCTTGGGAAAGTACAAAGGCAGCAAGAAGAGGAAGATGCTCACCGAGGTGGATCGACACAGTGACTGCAAGCATGGGCTCAACCACACAGCTGTGAGGACGGCGCAGGGGCGGGCAGTCCCTTTGTTCTAGGATTTGGGCCGCTAGGAGGGTCCCTGTGTAGGTATGTAGGGTTGCTAGGTGGGTCCCTTTGTTCCTGATATATAGGGTCGCTGGGAGTCGGAACCGTCTCAGTGGGACCTAATAACAGCAACATTTTTCCCGATCCTTTTACAGGACACAAGGAAGCCCGTGGCTACGCTGGCAGGTCACTGCTGGACCGCTAACCACAAGGCTGGAACCCACCAGCCACTCTATCTGCTCCAGTAAAGATTTACAGCCTGGGAAACCTGAGGCAGGGCCCTCTCAGGGAGATTCGGCTTGATGGTGGGGGCTTGGTTTTTGGTGTTGTTATTTATTGGACGCATACAACGTAGACAAGTCCACGCCGAATATTTCCTGGGAAAGAATCGAGTAAACACCATAGCAACAGCAGAAGATGGCAAATACAACCTTTTAGGGGGGGTGTTGAATTCACTGCCGTCAAGTTGATGCTGACTACAGCAACCCTGTAGGGCAGGGTAGAACTGCCCCTGTGGGTTTCCAAGATGGTACATCTTGATGGGAGCAGACAGCCTCCTCTTTCTCCTGAGGCGTGGTGGCTTGGATGTGCAGATCTTGCATTTAACCACCCAACTCGTAAACCACGACACCATCATCCAGGGCTCCAGGTGGGGCTGGGTGGGGGGTGGTTGAGGGGGGGTTGGCTGTTGGGGACGGGACAAGAAAAGAAAGAAATTAAAATATAAAATATAGTCTGTACACAGTTATACAGGAGCGAGGGGACAGGACCAGAGGGAGGGAATATTATTGGCAGAGGAGTCAGGGAAGGCAGTTCAGGCAGTGCGGTGTTTGAGCTGGCCAGAGGTGTGAGCAGTTTCCATTGACCACGGCAGTTTCCGTTGGCAGCCGTAGGGAAAAACACACCACAAGGAAAACCTACTCTCACAACTCATAACAGTCCTCTCGAGAGTTCTGGAAGCTGTGAGTCTTGACAGGACTGATAGCCTCCTCCTTCTCCCATGGAGCGGCTGGTGGGTTTGGACTGCTGACCCTCCAGTTCGCCGTCCAACGCTTACCTGACAACGTCACCGGGGCTCCCAGGCCGTAGAAAAGCAATGTTGACACTGGCCTGTGGGAGGGGGCAACAAACCGGAGAGCAATAAAACGAGGCG